TGCACATTCTTCCCGTGTCTGCATGGGCTTCCTCCCACAGTCCAAAGATGTGCAGGTTAGGTGGATAGGCCGTGCTAAATTGCCCATAGTGTCCAGGGAAGTGTAGATTAGGTGGATTAGCCATGCAGATTTCAGTGATACAGGGATAGGGTGCGGGTGGGATGCTCTTCGGATGGTCAGCGTGGACTCGATGGACTGAATGGCCTATTTCCACACTGTAGGAATTCTATGATTCAGTCCTCTATCTCTGTGCTTCTCACAAGCAGTACAGCTCTCTTGTTCTGTTAGTGATACTGGAACATACATCAAACCCCGCTCTCTTCCACACCAACCATTTCCCCTATGGCCAGCACAGGACATTCAATCAAGATCAATGCTGGACTGGGAAGAAGAAATCGAAAGCTAAGGGTGGAGCGTAGACCTCCCCACTTCATTATTCTTTTGGATAGTGTAGTGTTACAAAGTTGGGCAGTTAGAATTTGCTGGCAAAAATGAGTGGGGAAAAGCTGCGCATGCTCCCTTTAAGAGATTGTGTTTTGTCTGTGCTTGGAAGTTTACAAGTACCATACAGAGAGCCCTAAAATTGAAACAAGTGCATCAAAAGGCCTTAGAGTTGTCAGGCATGCTGTTTTGTTTTGGTGTTGAGACAAGTTTGAATTTAGCCAATTAATTTAAACCAAGCACCTAGAGACAAAAAAAGCCAATTGCATTTAAAACTGGTTTCAGGTTGTCAAAACCATCAATCATATTATTAGAAAACTGATGTATCATTGAGGGTTTTTGAAAATCGGGGTGAGAACCAACTGTCATCCTGAGGGGAAAGCAAACCCGCCATCTGAGAAATAAGTCCAAGCTCTCACAAGAAATCGTTAAGCTCTCTAAGAAAGAACCATCTATCTGAAAAAGGTACCGCAGCATTTTAGCTCAAAGTGCTCACTGAAGAAAAACAGAAAAACATCCCTGACAGCAGAATCCGTAGAAGAAAGGCATTTGTGGCATAATGGAGAAGGCAGAGCATTCCAGAAGACATGGTCTGTGCGAATTTGGAGAGATTAAGTTTTAATTTATTATTGTCTTCTAATTGGGTTTATATAAATGGGACTTGTGTTTATTTGAGCAGCATTTCAGTAGAACTTAGTTCAGTTACGGAGTAGTTAGTAGTCTGGGGGGAATTGTTCAGTTTGTTAGTTAATTTGTTCACTGTCAGGGTTGAGTAAATAAATTGTTACTTGTTACTTATGAAGTGGATATCAGGGATTTTCTTTCATTTAATTACTCTCTTAACAGATTATAAAGGCGAGACGAGCATCCCAGGGTGTCTTAGGTTTAATTATTAGAAGGGAACCCCTAATCCCCACCAGAACAGATTGGGGGCTTGTGTTTCAGTTTATCTGTCAGAGGGGTTCAGCTTTCCCCTTCTCCGTAAAGGGAAAGGGGAAGTAAGGTTTTACTCCAGGACATCATCTCATACTTTGCTCAGTCTGGTGGTTACGCAGGGTCCGCTCAATGGAGGGCAAAGATGTCATTTTTTGCTCAAGTTTGATGGAAACTTCAGCCTAATTTATTTAGATATGGCAGTAAAAGATTAAACATGCAAACATGAATAAATATTAACATTAATTACAGTCAACAGAACAGCATCACCTTCCCAACCTTGGGATCTTTGAATGTAGTGAAGAGGGCTGTGTTTCAGCCCAATAAAGAAATGGATTACAGAATCAATGCAGTAAATCAGTCAGCTCCAAAACTTAAGTGTTGCTTTGGTCTATTCCCACCACTATGATCCTAATTACTATCCAAATGTTCACATTTGCATTAAACCAGCTCCACTTTGTTTGAGCAAATTTTGAATTCAGATTGCAACTGTAATACGATGGCTGGATGCAATATTGGCATTTTTCAAACACCTTCATGTGGTGTTTCTTCCTGGTGTGATTCCTATACACTCAGCAGACAGCACTATTCTGCAAGGATCAATGTTATAGTAGGAATTTTAATGGTTTTGGATCAGCAAACTCAATCCATCTGTTAATTTTAATCTAGACATTAATTTGAACTGATAGGTGGAACTATAATAGTTGTTCAATTGTTTTACCTTTGGAAAGTGGCTGGGGCAAAAGTCTCAGGCAAAGTTTCCTCCACTAAATTTTGTTGCAGTTTGTGGCTATAACACATGTGCACTAAAACAGCAGAAATAAATTCCAACCAATATCTAATGAAGGACAATCTTCAAAAATTGATCAAGACAACCCTCTTTGTTTGTCGAAAAGTGGAGTATATTAGTGGACAATTTATCTAGTGTTAGACTTGACCTTGTTGACATATTTGAGTAATTACACCTAAGGTTGTCAAATTGCACTCTACATAAGCTTAGTAATAAAAAGTCTTCATTTGTACATGTTATTACTACCATTTATGGATTTTGGGATATGTTGTTAGAGATGTCAACTTCAAGATTCTTTCAGTGCCAAACACTGATGTGGCATTATGAACACGTAGAGTGAACATGAAATATAGCTTGGATGTGTTTGCACATTTGGGCTTCAAATAAATCTAGCTTAACCGCAAATTAAGGCCAAATGTACAATGTTAATTGATCACAAAAGTAGCCAGAGGAGATAACCCAGGGTCTCTTGTCAAAGATACAAGTTACATTCAGCATTTAGAAGCGAAGCTGAAGCTGCAAGGCTGAGTGGCTGGAAGAATGGTCTAGGGACTTAAATGTTCCACTGACTCCCCCTTAGAGATATAAAATTGGGGTTAAATTGTGAGGGGAAGCGAGGAGCACTCTTTCTCAAGAGTTGCCAGTATCGGGTTAGAAGTCATTAGTTGTGTTGATTCAGGAACCCATGCTTGGACTAAATATTACAGAGCAACTCGATAAAGTGACAGTACATGACAATAAAAATCTAAATCTAAATCTAAAAGGGAGACAAAAAAACCACTACAAAGATATTTGTTCTTAGCAAGACTTAGTATTTACCACAAAACATGTGCTGTGGGACAATTAAGAGTACAACACTTGTCAGCAGTGCACTTACCAGGAGTAAGGAACTTGCTCAGTAGTATTTACAAAGGAGATTGCCAGTCAACAGGTATTTGTGATAGACTGAGGGGTTGCCATAAGACAGTGTTAATTTTAATGACTAAACAGTCACCAGGCTGAGAAGTGACATAAGAATCCAGCATTTGAGATCAGTGAGTTGAGTATAGATAACTTTGCCAGGACTGAATCATTGCCTTGAGAGAAGGAGCCAAGAAGAACATCGAGTTGGCTGCTGTGTAGTGTGTTTTTCAGCAGTTAAAAGGTAGACTGGAAAGTTGTGGGTTGGAAAAAGATTCACTAGAACTGAAATCTTAACACTGCAGAGAAATTTGTACATTTGTTTCAGTTACATTGGTCAAATACCACCTTGAATGGTATCATGAGCCAAGAGACCTGGTTCAATTAGCCAAGAGAACAGCCCAGAAGAGCCTGGATCCACAAGATAAACAAATCAACATGTTGAATTTGTGAATTGCACCATTCCTCAACTATGGAGATGTTAAATGTCAACCTTTAGTACCCACTAAACCTTGTTAGCTATCATGCTAACTTAATTATCCTTTTAGCTGTTCTTGCTCTGGAGTCTATAGAGTCTAAATCCATACCACCTGACAAATTACAAAATGATTTGTCAATCACACTGATGAGTTACAATGAATCATCTTTTATCTAATCCGTTCAGTTAACCAACAGAACAAAAAGTGTGTTGAAATATAATGCTGCTTGTTGTGTTGGAACGAAATAAACTGTTGGTTATTTTCCAACAGTTTCCAAAAAGTCTGGTCAACAGAAACATTTCATAATTAACATTTCCAGGAATTTAATAGCATATATAATTCTAAGTTTTCTTTTTATTCGTGCATGGGATGTGGGCGTTGTTGGCTGGGCAGCATTTATTGCCTGTCCCTAGTTGCCCTTGAGAAGGTGGTGGTGAGCTGCCTTCTTGAACCACTGAAGTCCACATGCTGTAGGTAGACCCACAATACCATAAGGGAGGGAATTCCAGGATTTTGATCTAACGACAGCAAAGGAACAGTAATAATATTTCCAAGTCAGGATGGTGAGTGGCTTGGAGGGGAACTTGCAGGTAGTGGTGTTCCAAAGCACCTGTTGCTGTTCTCCTTCTGGATCATAGTAAGGAGCTTTGGTGAGTTTCTGCAGTACATTTTGAAGGTGGTACACACTACTGCTACTGAGTATCAATGCTGGAGAAACTGAACACTCGTGGATGCGATAACATGCAGGTGGCTTGCTTTGGTGTCAAGCTTCTTGAGTGTTGTTGGAGCTACACTCATCCATGGAATATCATTGATGAAGCAACTGAAAACAGTTGGGCTTAAGACACTAATATACTAATAGCACACCAATTTGCTGTTTTGCTTTTTCTCCCCAGCAATAGAATTCAGAGCAATTTAACCTCAGTTATTCTTGCCCTTTATTGATCTGGTTATTTGGGCAAACACTGTTTTCTATGTGATTCATTTGAGGGTATAGTCATTAGGGATCAAGTCTTCAAATTATTGTCATTCAGTTGCTATTTCAACAGATCAATTAACATGTCATGTATCAGATCCAGGGGGAGGTGGTAGCTGCGATTGTATCTGCTTCATTTAAGAGGCATTTAGACAGACAAATGGACAAGAAGGGAATAGAGGGAGACAGACCATGTGCAGGCAGATGGGATCAGTTTAGAATGGCATTGTGGTTGGCACAGACATGGTAGGCCAAAAGGACCTGTTCTGTGTTCTTTACCTGAACCAGGGCAATAAATGGCTAGGAGAGAATCATGGTTACGTTTGTGAATGTTCACTCACAACAAGGAAATGAATGGTGCAGAGTACAGGAAACAGAAGGACTCAGTCCCATTCCTCTCTCTGTTAAATTCCATTACACACTCAGCTTCATTACACAAATACCACCAATTCCAGCACGTACAAACCAAAATACAGAACCGTGAGGGGATTTTATTTTATTAGAAAGGATATTCTGACAGTATTTTCAGAACAAGACTCTTCCTTAAAACAACATTGTAAACAGATACATTGAGAAAAATACAATAATTTGTATCAAATCTAATTACATCTACATTCCAGAATCTTCTAATGCAATGGAAACAATTTAGTATTTCTGAAATTCTGAACTGCAGTACACATTGATTTGTCACACTGAATTAGACCTCTGTTCCCCATTTACTAAAGTGCTCGCTGACCTTTATTTCAGTAACCCAACATGTACCAAATCAACTCAAATACCTTAGCAAATAAAATGTCTATTCTTTTTCCTTAAAAAAGGCAAACAATGTTTTCATCAAATAGGAGGAGTTTATTGAATAAACTCCACCTGGAATCTAATCTTTTAAATCAAGTATTTGGCAGGTTTTAAACAATTTGGCATCACTCCAGTGTAAAAATTTGACAATGCACCAGTAGTAGTTTAGGCACATACCTGTAATGAAGTTAAACAGTTCTTCAGGGTAAAAAAGAAACCTAATACACAATTTGTCTGTCTACATATGGTTTACTAGAATCATAAGAACCAGAGATTAGCACTGAAACCATAAATAAATGAATCCCACACCAAGTGAGAAGGTTGTATTTTCAGAAGAAACCCCAACATTTAAAAAAAATGGAGGAAAAGAAGAGAGATTACAAACATATGATGTACCCCGAAGACCCATGTAAAACGTGAGCTGTATGGGGAGGGGATAACATTCAGCATTGGGTGTTTGGATTTCTTTTTGACTGCTGATTTTTTGCCACTGCTGGACCCATGTCATACTCAGTAATTTTACTGAGCTGCAATGGCTTATCTGTCACTTGTAATTGTGAGATCTTGCACCAACCCAGAATAAAACTGCTGCTGGTACTCAGCCTGCCCTGACTTTCTGTAGACACAGAAGAGTACATTAATTCACACAAGGCATCAGAAAGACCTCTTATATTTTTCTTTTAGACAAGTTCACAAATAAGCAATTTGTTCATTTGTTCTCATTATACCAAAATATTAGTTTTGGGAGGGGATGGCATGCATTGGGTTTTAAGAAAAAAAAAGTGTTTAGCTTAATTATTAATGAGAGGTTTGGACCACAGGTCAATCTAGCAAGCACATTTGCTTTTGTCTGGGTCTGCTGCATTTAGATGCTCAGTGGAGCTGTGGCCATTGGATCTTACAACCCCTTCAGGTATCCAAGATTTGTCCACACACCGTTCCATGCGTTTCATGATGAGCTCCAGCAGAGTTTCCACCGCTTTATTCACATTGGACGCCGTTGCTGCACTTGTCTCAAAGTAGGGCAGTCTGTGAAGAAAGTAGGTTGTCAGCAAGGCATAAATGGAAAGAGACAAACTATACATAATGAGTGCAAGCCAGCGATCAAAAGCAAATATCGCAGTACTAAAACCTTTAGACAGACTAATTAAATCAACCCCATCAATGTATTAGCTTTACCAGCAAACAAAATCCTTTTAAGCTTTAATGTGTTCAGATGCAGTTGAGCAACAAGCTTCTCCATGCGCTACCATTATCTCAAATGACATTGAACTTATTAACGGCTCAGGATAATCGAAGGCCATTAAAGAAATAAGGACATGAATGATGAGAAGCAGGAATTGCGGGATCTTGTGGCAAGCCCCTATCTCTGTGCCAGAAGAATTGGATTCAAATCCCACTTGCTCCAGAGGTGTGTGAATAACATCTCTGAACTTGTTCATATAAAAATACCTAGAAACAACAGCAACTTCCAAACAGTCTAGAGTCTTCTACTTTTTCAACAGGTTCCTTATTTAATGTTAACGCCTATACACAATTTACACAGTTACACAATGAGTCCATCCCTTGATGAGTTATAATTTAGAATTGAAATTAGCTTTATTGTCATATGTACTCAAACGAGTGCCGTGGAAAGTGTACAAGTCATCACCTACAGCAGGGACCAAAGCCCCCAGGTACAGCTTCTTCAGTTGTACTTCTTAGAAAAATAAAGAAGTAAAAAGTCCAGCATTACAGATTTCAGGAATATATTATAAAAAGGGAGAGGGAAAAAAAAAGTTAGGAACAATGGTCTTCCAACCCAGTCCATGCTGGCACCTAACACATACAAAACTGTAGATGAGGAAATGGAGACAGTCAGGATTCTGCCATTCATCCCTCATCTGTTTAAACACTTGATGCCTCCATTGCCCAACATGGTGCAGAATTCATTGGACTATCAAGCTGTGCCCCAAAGGAAAGGACAGCACCACGACAGAGTATAACCCTGGAGTACAACATATCCTAACTCACAATGATTATTCCTCAAGGAATATTCATGGATTCATCAATGATCACCCAAGTTTCCAACTAAAAGTTGCGCTGACATCAAGCACTGTGCAAGTGAAGCAATGATGTGGTTATATATTGGCTGCTAACATTCCAGGCTCTTGCTTGTAAAGTAAATCTTCATTTTATTCTGAGGATACACTTCAAAGTAAACTCTGCCTCTCAATGAGCACATCGAATTAGGTTGGGCACCTAAGGTGCATTATATCATAGAGTTATAGAATCCCTACAATGTGGAACCAGGCCATTTGGCCCATTGAGTCCACACCGACCCTCTGAAGAGCATACAGCAGGTTAAGTGTTCAGGGAGATTTGGGTGCCCTGGTGTAAGAAGCAAAGTTGATGACAGCAAACAATTAGAAAGGCAAACAGCATGTTGCAAGGGGACTAGTGTACAAAAATAAGAAAATCCTGCTACAGTTGTATTGGACTTTGCTGAGATCACACACTATGAGCATTCCATATCTCATGAAGGATAGATTGATTCCTGGAAGGAGAATATTGTCCTACAAGGCGAAGCGGAATAAGTTGGGTCTATACTCTCCGGAGGTTTTGAAAAACAAGAGATGATCTGGTGGTGGCTCAGTCGTTAGCACTACTGCCTCACAGTACCAGAGATTCAGATTCAATTCCAATTTCGGGTGACTGTCTGTGTGGACATTCTCCCAGTCTCTGCATGGGTTTCTCCAGATGCTCCAGTTTCCTTCCATGATGCAAAGATGTGCAGGTTTGGTGGACTGGTCATGCTAAATTGCCCATAGTGTCCAGAGATGTGCAGGCTAGGTGGATTTGCCATGGGAAATGCAAGGGAATAGGGTAGGGGGTTGGGTCTGGGTGGGATGCTTTCCGGACGGTCAGTATGGGCTGAATGGCCTGCTTCCACACACTGTAGGGATTCTATGATTGTGGGAGGACAGACAACGGTTACTTCCTCCCAGCCTGTGAGCTCTGGAACACAGGAGTACAGACTCAGGATAAGGTATCGATTATTTCAGATGGAGGCGAGGAGTGATTACTTCACTCTTTGAAGGTGTAAAATGGGCACTCTGCATGCAACTGAAGCAAATGCTGAAATTAAAATTGGAATAATCTTCACTCAGAATTTTTCCAATTTGTTGGCCCAGAGAGACAGACAGCTCCATTACGGAGATTCTCCCCAAGGCTAGGAGAGAGATTTTTTTGATCTCTTGGGGAATAAGTGGACATGGGGAGCAAGTGGAAAGTGCAGATGACCAGCCAGCATCATCCTGAACAGCAACACAGACTCATGGACCACTCGGACTACACCTGTTCCGAGGAAAAGTGGTTTGCAGTCAGAAAGGATTTCATTCACGGGCTGCATTAAAAGGTGCAAACTTCAGTTCATAAAAGACTTCATCTGCTCGTGGAATTGACCTTTTGTTTCTGCAAAAAACTAACTGCATTAAGGAATACCTCAGTTCAGCCATTTTAATAATTATGGTGACAACTAACTGAATTTTCCACAGCCTGAATGACTCTAAATATCCTTGAAATTGTGCACTTTCTTGGATTGATCAGATCTTGACATGGTTAGTATTCTAACGCTCACAGAGCATTCAATGATGAGCTGTACAGCCTTCTCAGCAACCAAGCACTCATGCACACACGATTATTATTTGATTAATATACCATATTGATGGACACAATAGAATCTCAAACCAGCAACAAAAAGACAATGAATCTTAAAAACAAATGGAAACGTTCAACTACAGAGATACGCATGAGGTACAATTAAGGGATTTGGTAAAATATTGCAAAGTATCATCCTGTATTCCCATTTGAAGGAAATTTCAGTATGACAGATTTTCAAACAGATCAGAACTTTTGAACTGAATCAGTGACAAATCTGTTCTATTCCCCAGAATCACAGTAGTTTTAAGTGCCCCATTCCTTACCCCAGAGGGAAGTAACCAGATATTTTAGGTTGCTTTTTTAATAAAAAGGGTAATGCGAAAGTGAAGACTTCTTTGAGAGCTGGACTTTCAGAAACAAGAGATGTACAAGATCCCATCTCACTACAGATACTGGATTATTGTTTTATACAAATCATATGCAAGATGCCTGAATAGTATGGTGTACTTCAGTTCAGTCTTTGCTTAGGTCTCTTAACAGCTATGCCAGCTGCTGGAATTTAACAGAATTTCTCTCTCCTGAATACTGTCATAAGTAATATTACTTGGATGAGCATAATACAATTTAATTGAGATCTTCCATGATGGTTCAATTCATTCCCATTACTTTTCCATTTCTCCCTCCAATTCTTGATTGAAACTTAGATCATCTCCAGCTCCTGTAAAATGATTCAGTGCAATTCACCAATTCTGCGGATGCTCCTTTCACCTCAGCAATGACTGAAAGCGAACATCAGAAAGTATTCCACACGTACCCTGTTCATGGAACGTTGAGGTTTCAAACGCACTGGCTTGTTTTCCTTCCACTTTTCCGATAATAGCAACATTCATTTGTAGGTCAATTGCTCACCCCCATTAAAAAAACAAAACAAAAAAAAAAATCAGCATCCACCTTTGCATTGGGGTTTGGTTATTTGCAATCGCCATCTCATTCTGGTTAATATAGTGAAGCCAGTGAGAAAGCAAATGAGACAGAACTGCATACACTAAACCATAGTGTGAGGTTGAAAGATACCTTGCTCATTTGAAGAAATGCTCCAGTCAGGACATTAAATCATGTCTTTTGGACCAGAGCTGGACAGAGAAATGGAGATCGGAATCCTGGAGCCAGTCCAGAGAACAGCCACAGGATTAATTATTCATGCAGACCTTTACTGCTTGAAGCAAATGTATTTCTCCATCCAGATTTACATTGTGGGATCAGTAGAATGTAAATGTCAAGATGTAGATGTAGCTTAAGCTTGCAGCACTTCAATTGCTGCTCAATACTCAGGTGATAAATAGTTGAAATCAAGTACAGGTTAACAAAGGTAAAGTACATAGAACATTTAAAATGCAGCTTGATGCTATGGAATGGGAGTCAGCGGATTTGAGGAACCTCTGACCTACATGTGTTCTTGGGTAATGTGAGCAAGGAGTCTTCAAATCCTTAGAAGTCACTGGTCAGAATCTACTTAGAAAGAAATCTCTCATTGATTCCACGTCATCAGCTGGGGCAGCAACATAAAATTATCAATGGAATCTCACTGCCTTTCAGTTACTCTTAATCACAGAAAACCAATTAAAAGCCCAGGTCAAGGTTCCCCATCCATTTAAGGAGGATGGGTGGGATGAGGTCGCCACTTTAAGTGAGGAAGGGCTCCTGTTCAAAGTTACCACAGCTTACATGCACACAAACACAGACACATAATTAACACATATTATATATACAAACTACTTTTTGCATCTGAACAGATACAGCAAATATATGTTTATGTACATGTGCGTGCACATCTCGCGATGACAAGCTTCAGGTTTATCTAAAGCTACAGCACCTTGCTCTGCAGAGAACAAGTTCATAAAATCAGTTTTCCACATGCAACTGAAGCAACTATCGAAGTTAAAAAATGTAATTGGATTAGCCAAAATATTACTGTTGATGAGATAGTAGGAACTGCAGATGCTGGAGAATCTGAGATAATGAGGTGTAGAGCTGGATAAACACAGCAGGCCAAGCAGCATCAGAGGAGCAGGAAAGCTGATGTTTTGGGCCTAGACCCTTCTTCAGAAATGGGGGAGGGGAAGGGGGTTCTGAAATAAATAGGGAGAGGGGGGAGGCGGATAGAAGATGAATAGAGGAGAAGATAGGTGGAGAGGAGACAGACAGGTCAAAAAGAGGCGTGGACGGAGCCAGTAAAGGTGAGTGTAGGTGGGGAGTTAGGGAGAAGATAGGTCAGTCCAGGGAGGACGGACAGGTCAAGGGGGCGGGATAAGGTTAGTAGGTAGGAAATGGGGGTGGGGCTTGAAGTGGGAGGAGGGGATAGGTGGGAGGAAAGACAGGTTACGGAG